CACTGGTGGGGATTTCTTCAGAACTTCAGTTGAAGGCACATGGATTCTGAGAGGGCCTGCTTTCAATGGATTGAACGAACCTTGAGGACGAATAGAAACTGAAAATGGATCGCCGGGGGGAATCCGACGATCAGCGGCGAAAGCCGCCACCTCCTCCGTCATTGACGGGTTACCTGCCAAGAAAAAAGGAGATGGAAATTTTGAAATCAAACGGAACTTTCTCTCTCTACTTTCCTAGAGTTTCTCTCTCTACTTTCTACTTTGGAGGAATTTAATGTTCTTTATGAATGTGAGTGTCTTCAGGTATAAGATCTCATGAGATTATTCTTTTTTCTGTTCAACATACTTTTGGTTGATGTCACAATACCTTGCCCATCTTGTTGTTATCTCTGATATGTTGCATATCTTACAATCTCCTAAAGTGGATTCGCTCGTCTTTCGCTTTGGTTTTCACAGTAAATCTTCTATTCCATGGTTATTTTGAACTATTGGTGTTATGATTGCTTGAATTTTGAATTAAATAGAATAAAATTAGGATAATTTTGTGCTAATCATAACTATTAACCTAGAGACAATGAATCTATAAATAGATAGTCTAAAGAATATAATTGAAATAGCTTTGATTAACAAAAAATAATACTCTAGTTTAAAGTTGTATGTAATACCTTCAAGTGTGATACAAATGTGAGAATCAAATTCCAACACAAGTAGTCTCCTTATGCCAATGCGACAACTAGATTATTTATCCTAAATAATTTGTTTGTCTTGATACCGTGTTCTTGAATTTTCAAATTTAATGCAACTAGAAAATCCAATTATGATAAAAAAATTGTAATTGCATGTTGATTTCGCATTATTTGAATTTCTTGTCGATTTCTTCATATTTATTCATCATTGCATTACTTTTTGGATGATAATTATTATATTTTCTATTTAAATTTAACAAAATCCATTTTTTAGTATTTAGTGAACTTTAATCTATGAATCTGTTATGAAACAAGTGCAGAAATCACCAAAGTAATGGTTGAAATGGGAAATTTCAGCAAGAACATGCAGAAATTTGAAGAAATTCCTTTGAAAATCAACAGAAAAACTTAATAATAGATGAAAAATAGAAGAAAACAAGCAAGATACAATTGATTTTCAATTCGAGAGGAAGATCCGGCTCTCCTAATCTCTAGCTGGTGGCTAGAGCCCAAGCAACCCTAGAGAACTCCAAAATTAAGCAAAAACATGTATAACCCTATCCATAGCATAAGAATAGTTAATAAAAGCAAATAACACAATGTAAAAGGTCCAAACAACCCTTTAAATTCCATCTCCAGCACATCTGCCCCTCTCTCTTCTTTAAAACATGGACCCCACCCCAAAGGGGGAAGGATTTGCCTGGTTCCACCCAGGCTTCCGCTTGGTATAACATTGGGTCGATCCCTTCTGGACTAACCGAATCGGCCCCTCCTGTGCCGGTCTAACAAAATCCTAACTTTTGCATGGTCAACATTCATTGTATTATTCTACTTGCATTAGAAAACCTAAGCCCTATGCCATAGACTGTAATATGTATGGTTATATCAATATATCAAATAAACGAATGACATAATAATTGGTCAAAATATACAATTATAACAAACTATAAGCTATATTTCTATACAACTACAATGTGATCATCAAATGTCAAAATTGTATTCATAAATTTGATGGGAATTTGGGAATTATGATCTTAGAAAATTTTCAATTTGGATCCTTAGTTTACAATACTTCTTTTTAGTGTTTAACATTACGCAATATGAGGCTCTCCTTGAGGCCCACCACAGCGCAATTCCAGTGAAAAACGCATCGAGGCTTACACCTCAAACTTTTTTATAAGGATTGCACCTCAGCTTGGCTGAGGCCCGCCTTAAGGCATGTCATGCCTCATTGACGTGAGGCTTATGCCTTACCCAATTTATATATATATTTTTTAAAAACTTACCTAAATCCTAAATTAAAGCCCCGAACAAAACACTCTTTAATGCATCCCCAAGCTATAGCAACTTCCTTTCAACTATCTTGACCTCCACCCTCCATTTTATTGATAGTCACCACTGTCGTAGCTGCCTCCAAAAATCACTTGAAACTCGCACACCACCACCACCCACCTCTTCTAAAATTTTATGAGTATTTATCTCATCTTTAGGTTGATGAAAAAACATTTATGAAAGAAGAATATGACTGAAATAAATGAAAAAAGAATAAAATTGGGAGGCAGGGGAGAGACCAATTTGTTATGATGACAACTCAGATAAAAACCTCCTCAAAGATGATAATGTAGATAATTTTTAAGTTTTTGTCAACTATTTTAGTTTTCTTTAAGAATTAAATGTGGATGAGTAAGAAACTGAGAAAAAAGGAATTTGGTGTTTAACATGATATTATATGATACTTTTATGCTATAATAAATATTATTTTGATCTTATAATATTTGTATTTCATTTCTATTTCATGCAATTTATCACTTGACATTTTATGCCTTGTGCAATTTTTTATATTATATATATGTCAATTTATTACTTCATAATTTTATATAAAGTTAATATGTCATCCTTTAATATATTATTTAAGTATTACATAAAAAAATCACTTTTAACATTTATTTTGGCTAAACGCAATTTTTTGATTTTGAGGTTTATGCCTCAAAATGCCTTGAGGCTTACGCTTCGCTTTATGAACAAAAAACGCCTCAATACCCAATTGTGCAATTTTAAATTTGGTTTCTTTTAAAAGAAATAGTTTAGCTGATTCTCAATGTGTGCACATGGTCAAATCAATAGTAATGGGACAAGTTCAATCATTTAGATGAGGTGTTATTATTAAGTCATCTTAGATTGATTAGATATACAAACATAAAAAGTAATTTTTGTTGTTTGGTAAGTATATGGATCAATTGCATGATCAATTCTTATATGAGCGATTTAAAAATTATAAATAAGGTAAATATGTTGAATTAGAGTATTATGCAAAGTTTACCATTTTTGTAGCTAAATGTTATTTACTTTCAGAGTATTATGTTTTTAATAATTTATTTTACTAAAGGACTTAGCAAGAAAGTAGGGATGAACTGAAATGTAATTCAACAAAATATTGCATAATACTTTATAAATATTCTTGGTTATTGAGAAAAATTATAGCTAAATGTTGATTGCTTTTAAACTATTATGTTTTAATTATTTGTTTACTTAAAGTACCTAAGCAAGAAATTAAGGATGAACCAAACTACAACAACAACAACAACAACCTCAAGTCTTTATCCCACTACATGGGGTCGGCAACATGAATCATTTTTTCTCCAATGTGTTTGGTTAAGAGTCAAATTCTCATTTAGATCTAATAAAGAAATGTCATTTCTAATATTTTCTAATCAAGTTTTTTTAGGCCTACCTCTACCCTTCTTAACATAGGTTAAATCTAATACATCTACTCTCTTAACCAGGTCAACAGAAAGCCGCCGGTTTTATGTGACCAAACCATCTAAGGAGACTCTCTAATCTTATCTGCAACTGGAGCTACTCCAACTTTTTCATGTATATGCTCATTAGGGATGAACTAAACTACAACAACAACATCAACAACATCAAGCCTTTGTCCCACTACGTGGGGTCCGCTACATGAATCCCTTTTCTCCATTGTGTCATGTTAAAAATCAAATTCTCATTTAAATCTAATAAAGAAAAATCATTTCTAATATTTTCTAACCAAGTCTTTTAAGGTCTACCTCTACCTTATATATTGAGGAATATTATGCCTAAGACTTTATGCATATTATATACTGAGGAATATTATAATGATTCTCTTAGGATTATAACTCCTATGATTAGTGGCTCTAACGGAAAATCAAAGCCATTTCTATTAAATCTTTATCACATACATACAAGCCAACACGAAAATCATTTATGGTTGAATCTAATCTAATTGAAGGGACCGAAGTTAATTAATATTCTTTTGAGGATAAATTAGATACAAAATATGATTTGCAATTATAATCTAGCTCTACATCTAATCTTATTTGAATCTGAATTTACACCTATAATAAATCATATTCAAGACCTAACCTATGTTTGAACAAGAGTTAGAATTTGCATTTGAGCATGCAATCATATCTAAATAAAAACTTCCAATTAAAATTGAGTAAATGCATGAATAAGAAATTGAATCAATCATATCCACTATAGTTGATAAATCAATTGAGCAATCTAATAATGCAACTCTTGTTAATCATATGATAATATTATTTCTATGATAAATGAACAAACTAATATTAATATTGTTTTCTGTTCTTGATCTAATAATATACAAATCCATAAAAATAACTCTATGAAGAGAATTAACTTACATGAATATTAAAAAAAGTATTAACAATTCATGCCCTAAAGTAAAACTAAAATTTAAAATTACACCCACCAGAACAATTCTAAATGTGCATAATTCATCACATCTTACATTTAGATCGTTTAGGTTAGTTTTCTGTAAAGAGATTCTTCAATCATAGAGGCATATCATTTAGTGTATGGTTTATTTTTGAATTTTCTATGACCACTTTTTTGGACGTCCCAAAGTTCACCAAATAGGATTTATTATAGCATGGGCAAGTTTTGAACAAAGACCTTGGCAACAACTTCGGAATCTTCGACCAACCAGACTATTTGGTTATGAGAACTCAACCAAATTGAATAATTTTGACTACAAACTCCAGATTTAGAAAAAATCCATCATATGGGCCCATAGGGAGTCTAGGCTGTAGTGCAGCATGCATGAGGATAGATGAGTTATATTCTTCCAAGAAAATTTGATGGTAAAAGAGCCACAGCCTTTCAAGCAAAAAATAAGGTGAGAAAAGTAAAAAAAACATTAAATTGGAGTTCTTTTCAGATATAGATTGAATAATAACAGCAAAAACAAAATAATTCATCACAGAATATTCACTTTCTATCATCTCATGATGTGGAATGAGAAGATAATGGTACCTGAGCAATAGCAGCATAACGAGCAAGCCCCCAAGCAGCCTCTTTCACAGCCAAAGCTGAAGGACCACAGGGAATACTTACAACAGTCCGCCTGATGACATGTAAATACCATGTAAGAATTGATGAAGTTTCATTAGGAATGTAGAAATAATATAAACGTAATTAATCAAGACAAACCACTTAGCAAAGCGAGCTCCTTGTTTGTAATATTCAGCACACCTAGATGCCAATCCATCCAATCCTTGACACCAAGACTCGTTGTTTGAACCTGGTAATGGAACCAAACCCTAGCGACAAGAAGTGACAAGTAAATTTCCCATTATGGGCATAACCTTCATCAGTCAAGAACCACCCGTACTAACATACTACACATCTTCAAAAGAAGCTGAAGCACAACAATGATGAAAAAAACCTTGTCAACTTTGATTCCAGGCACAATATTCTCCCCCCTCAGGCAATCCACAAACTTTGTTCCATCAATTGTTGACTGATAAAGAGTTTCCTCAAAAAGAATAGCTCCAGAAATATATTCACCCAACCCAGAGGTCGTCAGTAATAGCTGTCTGTAAGCCTGTCTATTCGCCTCAGTATTGTCCAAACCAATAGAAGCTAGCCTCTTGCCGCAAGTAGCATTTGATTCATCTATTGCCAGAATACCACGTCCAGGTGAAGCAATTGATTTCTACAGAAAAAAATATTATGTTAACAAACAAATGACATACTCATGATAGTTCTTGCAGAATTTAGAAATATATCACAACAACAACAACAACAAGCTTTTATCCCACTATGTGGGGTCGGCTACATGAATCATTTTTCTCCATTGTATCCAGTTAAGAGTCAAATTCTCATCTGAATCTAATAAAGAAAGGTCATTTCTAATATTTTCTAATCAAGTCTTTTTAAGTCTACATCTACCTTTATTAACATAAATCAAATCTAATACATATACACTTTCCTAACTGGGTTACCGGAAGACCTCCATAATTCAAGTTTATTTTCAACTCCCTCTCTAGTCTTATCAACAAGAAGAATATCATCAGCAAAAAGCATACACCATGATACAACCTCTTGCAAATGTCTAGTGAGAACATCCATAACTAAAGCAAAAGATATGGGATTTGGTTGATCCTTGATGTAAACCAACTGAAATAGGAAAATACTTGGTCAAACCACCTTGTGCTTTAACACAACAGCTCCTGCACACATATCCTTAATGACATGAATATAAGCACTATCAACTGCTTTCTTATGTAGAACTCTCCAAAGTACTTCTCTTGAAACTTTATCATATGCTTTCTCTAAATCAATAAAAATCATATATAGATCCTCCATATTCTCTCTATACTTCTCCATCAACCCTCTCAATAAATGTATAGCATCCATAGTTGACCTACCTCGTATGAATCCAAATTGATTTTGAGAATCATTAGTGTCATACCGCAACCTATGATCCATAACTCTCTCTCATAGTTTTAAAGTATGACACATTAACTTACTTCCTTTATAATTTGCACGATCTTGTGTATCACCTTTATTCTTAAAAATAGAAATCAACATACTATTCTCCAATCATCTAGCATCTTTTTAGTCTTCAAAATAATATTAAAAAATTTAGTAAGCCGAGAAATTCATTCATCTCCTAAGCATTTCCACACCTCTATTGGAATATCATAAGGTCCAACAGCTTTTCCACACTTCATTTTCTCTAAAGCCTCTTTAACTTTGATTTTACTAATACGTTGATAAAAATAAAAATCTTTATTTTCATTTTGTTGACGCACTTTTTTTTTTGCATCGACTCGACTCCAATCGAGCCAGACTAGGCTCGATCGTGCTCGATCGATTCGATCGAAGGTCGTCGAAATGAAATTGACTCAAATCAAACCCCGATTTAATTAAATTAAATCAATTTAATTTAATTTAAATCAAATCAATCCAATTCAAATCCAATCGAACCCTGTCGAGCTCGATTCGATGCGATTCGACATCGATTCAAGCTTAATTTCATGAAATTAGCTGGATCGGGCCCAAACCGACCCAAATCGGTTCGGGTCGAGTCCAATCCGGACTCAATTTCAACCCTAATTTCTCAATTTGGGCTGAATTTGATTTTCAAATCAAAGTTTGAGATCAAGGGCTCAAATTTCACATAGATTTTTGCCCTAAATCCATCATTCCATGCGTGAGAAGCTGGATTAGTTCACTTGGGCGGCATTTTTTTTTTGGCGGGACGTGCTCCTCTAAGGACACGAAAGGAGAAAGGGGGGGAGCATTCGGTTTCCCTCGTAGGTTCCGTCCCAGACAGAGCACGGGAGAGAGGGAGAGGGGCATTTCGCCCCTTTGTGTGCGTCTCCAGTCGCGGAGAAGAAGGGAACGGAGGCCTCTGTGCCGTTCGTCCCTCCCAGGCGAAACAGACAGAGGAAAATATCGGGACAGGGAGAGCCATTTTCGGCTCTCCTGTGCGGTTTCTTCTTGTCCCGAGAGAAAGGAGCGGGAGAGGGAAAGAGCCGCTAGGCTCTAGCTTGCTTGCGACTCCTGCATCCGTCCAGGCGATAGGAAGAGGCCAACTAGTGGCTTCTTGCATGCGACCTAGCCAAGAACTGTTGTTTTCCAATCCTTTAGACCGAAAAGAATGTCTCTCTCGCTGCTGTTGGAGGTATTCTCTCTCAAAATCTAGGGCAAAGGCATGCTGAAATCCGCCTTTGTTGCAGCTAAGAGAAGGTAGGAAGCCTCTACTTCCTTCCAGACCCTCTCCGGAAACCTCGAAACAGTGTATTTTGCTGTTTGGAGCGCTTGGACAGCAAGCGACAACCTCCGGGAGCATCCAAACAGTGAAAACTGCTGTCCGGAGCAGTTTGGACAGCAAATCCACCCTCCGAAAAAGCTTGGACAGCAGCGACGCCATCCGGAAAGGCTTGGACAGCAGCCTTCTTCCTTGGGAAAGTCTTGGACAGCAGTTTGGAGCTTTCAAAGGACTTGGACAGCGAGCCGGAACTTGGACAGGAGCGCTAGGACAACCCGGGTGAAGTAAAATCCTAAAACTTAGTGAAACCTAGGGTCCCCCAAGGCCATTGATGTGTGGATGACGTCCCCAAGCCATAGGTGCCTTAGAAACTTCATTTGCTTGCTTCCCCAAAACCTATGTGCGCTGCCCTCTCCGCAAAACAGCGGAAATCCGGTGATTTCCGTTTGTTTGCTCTCTTGTGAGAGTCAAAGAGGCATGCCAACGCGTGTAGGGGTATTGGATTGATATCCAACACCTCTCAAATGTATGTAATAGCATTCATATTGTGTTCAAACCGTCGCCTATAACAAACCTAGGCTTCGCCGTCAAAGCACCCAAATTTGGAAGCTATGCATTTGGCCAAATCAATTGCATGTTGCTTAGAATTTAGATTATGCCAAAATTGATCTAAATAAATAGTGTAGGTGTCTTTCTCTAAGGATTGCACACTTCTAAAATTATTGGGAGATTGATATGCATGTTTATTTAATTTGTAGGGAAAACTTGGGGTAGATATGGGTTTCCAAAGACCCATAAGCCACCCCTTATGTGCTCTTGAATTATTTAAATATGTGTTGCATCTCCTAATTCTCATGGATAAGGATGATAACAAATGATACTTTAGTATGCAAACTATCTAAATTTGTGTCATGACAAAATTGATACAAACTTTGGAGAGTTTGCATATTGGAACGAATAGTCTCTACAAGTTACTCCAAGACCATAGGAAATCAATTCTTCCCTCTCCTAATTGAGTCCAAAACACTCTAAAAGACATAGGGAAATTCCTTTCAAGCATGCATCTCCTCTTTCCATGGATCCAAAACATTCATGGAGGAATGAAGAATCTTCTTTCATGCATAATGCTTGGAGCATTCTCAAAGCTCCAAGTTTTAGATTGCATGAATCATTGGCAACTTGGAACCAACTTCCAAGATCTTTCATCTCTCTTGTTGGAACATAAACCAACAAGGATCCCCTTCATGTGTGATATGTTGGAGCACCCTCAAAGCTCTAAATCATTCTATCACATGAATCTTTAGAGTCTTAGGACCAAATCCTAAGCCCAAACCTTTATTTGTAGAGATAAAATCAACAATCCCCCTCTTTCATACATAATTTTTTGGGACCTTTCAAGTCTCCAAACATGTCATTACAAGAATTATTTGGAGCTTAGGACCAAATCCTGAGCTATCTCTTTCATTTGTTGAGTCACAAAATCAACAAATGAGTATCTAACTCCATTCACTTGACTTCAACTAAGTGAATGATCCTACCTCTTTGAATACCAAATATTCAAAGGATATCCTTGAACTTTTGTAACTCTCAAGTTAAATCTTCTTCCTTCAACTCCAAAGTTGTAGAAAATTTATCAAATCATTTATTCCTTGGAACACAAACCAATGAGTAATCATCTAAATTTAGGACTCAAATCCAAGTCTTCCTCATTTTCTTAGCCCAAAGTTGAGCAAATGATAATCTTCCTTTAAGTACCAAATACTTAAAGAGACTTCACCATTTACTTAGCCTAAATCAACTAAGTGGTCCTCCCTAACCTCTAATTTACAATTCATAAGTTGTAATTCATTTCTCCTTTCCTACAACTCAAAAGTTGTAGGAAACTATCTCATTCTCTAAGGACACCAAATCATGAGAATGTGCATGCCCTCTTTGAACACCAAATGTTCAAAGAATGTTCATGGGGTTGTGGCTTCCAAGTTGCATCCCTTCTCCTCCATCCCTCCAATCCAAATTGGAGGAGTGAATTTCCCTCTTTGGACAACAAATGTTCAAAGAACATTCATTGATTTGCAACCTCTATAGTTGCATTTTTTCCTCTTTCCTACAAGTCAAGATTGTAGGAGAGTACCCAAATCCATCTTCACGCATCCAAATCCTAGTTGGGAGGATGAATTCCCCTTTGAACACCAAATGTTCAAGGGCATTTATGATTTGCAACCTCTAAGTTGCATTTCCCTTTTCCTTTCCTACAAGCTAAGATTGTAGGAAAGCATCTAAACCCATTTTCATGCTCTCAAACCCAAGTTGGGACAATGAATTCCTCTCTTTGGACACCCGAAAGTCCAAGGAATCTTTGATGTGTGGCTCAAATCTATATATCAATCTTCTTTATTTGCTTAGTCCAAATTAAACAAATGAAATCCAACTCCTTGAATATGACAATTCAAGGAGATATCTTTTTGATTTGTAGCCTCAAAGCTAGTAATCTCTATTCACTTTTATAGGTTCCAAAAGCCTTAAAAGATGTAATATCTTAGCCCAAAAGCTATATGTTCTCTCTCCTTCAACTCCAAAGTTGTAGGAGACTTCCCCTCCCTTTAGCTCCAAAAGCTAGAGGGAGTTCCCCTACAATTAGCCCAAAAGCTAAATGTTGAATTCCTTTCTCCCCTTAAGCTCCAAAAACTAAGGAGATTTTTCCAACATGTAGCCCAAAAGTTACATGTTGGACACTTTTCTTAGACCCAAAATCTAAGTAACCTCCTCCACTCAACCCAAATTGAGTGATTTTTCTTATGACATTTAAAATGCTAAACCTATAGATGTTCTTAGGAATTATCCAATCTGCTGAAGTTCATCCTACCATATTGGATGGATTTCACCAAGTCCTAAGTGAAACCCCTTAGGCGGGTCTATCTTACCCTATTAGATAGACA